CTTCAAAAGAAGAGTCATTCCTTGCTGGACACAGTTTAAAAGATTTCGTAGGTGTGAATGTGAGTGCAGGTATTGGCGTATGTCTGACTGTGGCTAGGGTGTAAGTCTGAGTATGGGTGGATGCGGCTGTTAGGAGTGGCTATTTGTCTTCTCTTAATGACACTACGACATACACACCCACACCCACACTCACACCCCCAGATCCCCCATTTCAGAAATAAATGAAGTGCTTTTTTTTTTGAATTCAGAAAGAATTCAAATAGACCATTGGTTGTCTTTCTGTCAGCAGAGTAGGGCAGAGTGCAAAAAAATTACCCTGTGTTCACTTCTGATACAACATCAGGAAAAAAGATTATTTTCACTTTATCATTATCTCCCTACAAATACTTATGGAAACTTTTTTTCATTTCTAAGGAAACTTAAATAAAATATAGTTTATTGAATTATATATTGTGAAAGAGAAATAGAAGAAAAGAAATCGATATAAAATGAATAAGAGGTGCGATTGTTTGTTCGAAAGTCAAACTAACTATTTCAACGACCACATTTTTCTTATTGTGGATCTATACACATCGTTATAATGCACTACAAAAGTTGTTACACAAAAAATAAGGTATGAGTGAGATATTTTTTAACGAAAAGGTTCAATAAAGTTAATCGTCCTCTGTTCCATGCTCAGTCGCTGTTGAGGCGGATGTCTTGTCTTTTCTTTCTTTAGCTTTGACTGCTCTTATTTCTGGCATTAACATGATTGGCACTTCTGGCATTTGTGTGCTTGTAGCTTTATTAGAGCTATCTGTCGATTCGACACTGTCGTTTGGTGTATTCGTTGGTTTCATAGATCTGAAAGAAAAGCATGATAAAAATTTTATACAGACATACAACTTACTGATTTTTTTCGTCCGCGTTGTTGGCTGTTTGCTTATATTTGTCCTCCATATGCAGATAGATGAAAAAATGATTGACGAAAGAGAAAAGTAAGACGAAGTGAGTGCATAAAAACAAATATGTTTTTCTATCGTTTTTTTCCTTTATTTTTGCAATAACTGGCGAACTATTGGCCCTTACAGTACACAGAACGAATAATTAAGGGAAAGATAGAAAAAAAAGGATGGAAAGCAAGAAAAGCAAACGAAAAAGAAACCAAAAAGAGAGAAAAACAAAAATAAATAACAAACATAGAGATATTAGTACAATCATATGAAAGTCTAGCAAGAAAAATTACATTCAACAAATCACCACCTCGTTGATTCCAGCCACAATGAGAGAGTTGTAGAACATAAGATACAGCAAGAAACAGAATAATCAGTATTTTTACACGATGCCGTCAGTTTTGCCCGTTTGCAAAAACTTTTTAAAAGAGATTAAGTTCCTTTCCTTGGAATCCTTCCACAATGTGGGTATAGATATGATTGTGGATGTGTGTGAGGTTGGAGTGCGTTGTTCAACCAGTGATGTCCACACACTCACACCCACACCCTAATTGCATAGCTCTCTTCGCCATTATTTCTTCATTTTCACGCCCCATTTATGTCAATAGATGAAATTATTCAGGTGTGAAAATGAAGACATGGTTGACTGCCGAACTGTGCTATTGATTTTCATTTTCGTCATTCATTTTTCAATTACTAATGAGTGTCTGAAAAATAATGGGTCTCTCAGCATTTAGAGAATATGTGTTTTAATATTCGTTTGTTCAGATTTTATTTCCCTTATAACAGGTTCCTCTTTTAACTCTTTAGAAGCTGATATACTTTTTATACAAATAAAAAATATCTATCTATTATTTCAAAGCATGCATGAAATGAATAATCTGAGATAAATAGTTTTGTATATGCCACAGTTGACATGGGAATTCAGTTGAGATTGGAATGCGCGAAAAAAAGAAAAATAAGGAAAAAAAAGAAAAACAAAAAAAAAATCTGCGCTTAATAATTGTACACATACTAAAAAGAAAAATACTTTTTTTGAAAATCATTTACAATGTAATCTT